TGCTGAACCTTCTAGGAATGGCAGTTACCTCTGGCTGTGATCTTTGCACCATCTGTATGGGAGGAAAGAGAATGAACCAGAGAGAGAAAGACTACCAGGGTGGTCCTACTGTTTATCATTAAAATAATTTAAAGATACACAAGATGCTAGTTGTCTACCTTTTAACCTGAGTGAGGTAACATGGATGCGTTCACTTTGTGGTAATTCATTGCATTGTACTACAGTGCATGCACTTTCCTGCATGTATATTAAATAGCAATAAAAAGTTAGAAAAATGAGGCTCATGAGTTCAATTTTGGAGTAGGGTGGGGGCATTATGGGTAATTGTTATCTCTACTTTTCTAAGTTTTTAATTTTATGATTATGTTCCATATTTTTTAATTATATAATTTGGGGACTAAAGAATGGATGATTTTTTTTTCAGCATTAATTTTTTAAAAATTCTCTGAGCAGTCACAGGTGTTAAGCTTATAAAAAATGAATATTACCTTATGCCCCTTAGAGCAGAGATATAAATCGCTGTTAGGAAAGAGACTTCGTCCTTGAATACTTCATTGAGCAGATGCTCTTGTTTATCAAGATCAGAAATCCTATTCCAGGTTGTGTATGTGTTCATACCCATTTGCAAGAATGGACGATTTTAATGTCATGGTGGGTTTGCTAATCGCACAAGGTGCTTCTGTGGTGGTAATTTCTCACTTGCTTCTTTCATAGTGACATTTCACACTGCAGTCACTCCACAGGCAGGAAGATCATGGACGCTTTGTCCTGGTCAATGCAGTTTGCTCGTGGTGACTTCTGCTGTTGTCTGGCTGGAGGGTAAACCACTGTTGACTAAAGTCCCTTAACCAGCACAGTGAGACGGGTGACTCTTCTTTCCTTTTATGACAGCAGAACTCTGTTCTATTCTCATTCTTCTTTGCTGGATTCTTGAGGGTCTTGCTACCTTTTTTGGTGCCATTTTTGCTGTTCCTGCTGCCAAGGGCTTGCATGTTTATTTTTTATATTTCTATTTTTGCGTTTCTGTTAAAGTTTGACAGTTGATAGCTCCTGGACTACCTGTAGCCAGCCTCTGACTCAGTCCAGAACAAATAGAAGTTCCCCTTTTATTTACATCCTAGAAACTGCATATCATCTCAGTGATTTATTTTTGTCTTCAAGATTACCCATTTTTTGGTCATTTTAAACTAGATGTTTTTTTGAGGATTGGGAAGGATAGGGTTAGAGAAATTACACATTGATATATATTTTTTTTAATTAATTATTTATTTTGGCTGCGCTGGGTCTTAGTTGCGGCATGCGGGATCTTTGTTGCGGCATGCGAACTCTTAGTTGCGGCATGCATGCGACATCTAGTTCCCCAACCAGGGATCGATTTCAGATCCCCCCTGCATTGGGAGCATGGAGTTGTACCCACTGGACCACCAGAGAAGTCCCCACATTAATATTCTAGACACACATACCCCTGGAAACTTTTTCTGATGAAGAATAAACAAAGTTTTTATTTCAAGCTCTTTTTGTGTCAACTTCTAATGTTCTCACCTGTGATCACTAAATAGATTTGTATAATACTTCTGCTGTTTCTCTTTTAAATTTTAAAAATTTTTGGAAGTATTTTTGGATTTACTTTTAAAAGTCATTTTAATTGAGGTATGACCCATAATATGCACAAATCTTAAATGTATACTCAGTAAATTTTGACATATGTTTGTCCCTGTGTAACCACCACCCAGGTCAAGATATAGAATGTTTTTGGTACCCAGAAGGCTCCATGTTACATCCTCCTATTCAGTACCGCCTCCCAAAGGTAATCTTTTAAAAGTCAGAACTTTTCTGTCAACAGAGTTGATTTTACCTCTTCTTGAACTTCATGTATATGAAAGTATATGGTGTGTATTCTCTTGTTTCTATTATATTTTCTTTAGTTTATAATCTATGAGAAATATCCGTGTTCTCACTATGTAGTATTCCATTGTATGAATACATACTATTTATTTTTCCATTCCACTATTGATGGACATTTTGGTTATTTCCAATTAAAATATCTGAAGTGCTCTTTTGAAAAGACAGATTTGGTTTTTATGAACACATAACGTATGGTTTTATTCTCTAATATTTTGCAGACTATTACTTGGTATACATTTTTATTTTCTCCTGTAATATGTGTAACATTTTGATATTCTTAATGAAAATAACTCTACTTGTTTGTCTTTCCTCTCGCACGTCCTTTTTTCCCCATACTTTTCCCCATGGTACTTGAACCACTAGTAAAGGAAAGACACTGAAGCAGTGTGTTCACTGGAAAGACAGAATTTTAGAGTTTTTAGGCCTTTGTTGAGAGCGTCTGGTTGTTACTTCCCCCTACGGATGAGCACCAAAGGAATCGCATGAGCAGCCAGCCAGTCAGTGATACAGCTGAGACCCACGGGTTGTGAATTCCATTCACAGAGCTCTTTCACTTGCCAGGTTGCTCACTTGAATGTGTGGGCAAAGTGCCAAAAGATTTCTCTTTGAAACAAAAATGAAAAGAAATGATTTAATCCTATTAAAATGTAATTGGGAAATAAGTGTTAAACTACCACAATGTACTGTTTAACCCAGTTA